CTGCACAAGACAAATGGTGTGAATGATCACAATAATGGTGAATAATAATAAAATGCAGAAGTACAATATAAATAAAATGAATCATTTATTAAAAATTATTATTTCAAGTTTCACAGGCACCGGATCAAATACCTGTCATGTCCTTCTCCCGCCAACAGGAGGCGGTCCCTGACCGGAAGTCCTGTGCGTATCCATGGTAACAGACGCTTTAGAGAAAATGGCTTCGTGCGAAGTTTAACCGAGATTCAGTTCAGTTTAGTTCAGGTTAACTTATCTGAGTTTAGTTCAGGTTAAGTTCTCTGAGTTCAGGTTAGCCTAGCTTAGCATATCTTTAAACGGGGATGAAGCGCGTCAGAACTTTATCTTCACGCTGAAGAATCGATGGAGGATTTTCTGTCGCCATGTTTTCAGACGAAGCTTCGGACTCAGTGACGGTTGAGTCCGTTTGGAGGAAGAAACACGAGAGTCACCGAGACACGGTTTGTTTTTATCCTCGGTCAGCTAATGCTCTGCTGCTAGCTGCAGGGCTAACTGTTAGTTAGCTGCAGGGCTAACTGTTAGCTCGCTGCAGGGCTAACTGTTAGCCAGCTACAGGGCTAACTGTTAGCTCTCTGTTGTTCCACGTGATTTAAATGTCGTTGTGTCTCAGAGAGGCTGTCAGACTCCAGCTGTGTCCAGATGTGAGGCAGAGATCCAGAGCGTGTCCAGGAGCAGCAGCTCCACTCAGACAGAACCAGAGCAGCTCCCACAGCCGCCCCCTGAAGCCCCGGAGCCCCCGGAGCCCCCCGGCCTCGGGGCCTTCCTGCAGCGGGTGGAGGAGCTGGTCGTCGGGGAGCTGCTCCGGAACACCAGGAGTCACGCGTTCGACGGGTTCCAGGTGAACTGGGCGGAGCACAGACAGCTGGTGAGCGGCACCGACCGACCGGGAGGCGGGGACTCATCCTCCGGGCACTGACGGTGTGTGCGTGACGCTGCTCTTCCGTGTTTGCAGGTTTCACGTCTTCACCTACTCCAACATCCGGTCGCCCAGGAGACGGGTCTGCACGTGACCTGCGTGTCCTGGAGCTGCACAGGCTCAGTCGTTGTCTGTGGATACGGTCGGTACGTTCAAACCCAAACATCTGATTTCAAACTGGTTTAAAGGAGACATGACGTGTTGTAGGGAGCTCCTCCTCTCCTCAAACACTCCTGAAGCACCTCCTCAGTCGTCCACACCATGTCCCCCCCCCCCCTCAGCCTGACACTCTGTTGTGAGACACCTGTCTTCCTCTGTGGACAGGATGGACGATGGAGGCTGGAGCACAGAGAGCTCCTACGTCTGCTCGTGGAACCTGGATCGTCGAGGTCTGAACCCCCGACAGGCTGATCTGGTCATAGATGTTCCCACTGGAGTCACTGCTCTGTGCTGTCACCCCGACAGGCCCGCCCTCCTGGCAGGTACCCCACCGTCCATCTGTCCGTCTGTGCTCTCACATCACAAGCTGAGGACAGACTGATGTAGTGTGTGTGTGTGTGTGTGTGCGTGCAGGCGGTCTGTACAGTGGAGAGGTGGTCGTCTGGGACACCAGTCGGACTCAGGACCCAGTTGTGGCTCTGACGGGGACGTCAGCAGAGAGTCACAGAGAACCTGTTTATCAGGTAACTGACACGTCAACTAGGCCTCAACCAATCAGGAGTGAGTGACAGCTGTCAATCATGTCGTCTCATCCTGTTTCCCAATGTTT